ATATTTATCTTTCTCTTACACAATTTTCATTTTCACCTATAATATATATAGCCTAGTATGTGTTCGGCAAAAAATGTGATGTAAGAGGAATATAATAGTGAAATTTCGAAAATCTTGAAAGTAATCAAGTTAGGGTTGAAGTTTAAGAATTCATTTTGGGACTTGCCTTTGAACGTGCCCTTGTAAAATTTGTTAAGAGGAGTTGGATAAGAAAATTGTGTACTCGTCATAAAATTATTTTTTAGCTATTCAAGAAACTAAGTTGGAGAGTGTTGACTTAGTTATGGCTAGATCTTTTTGGGGTAATTCATCTTTTACGCATGCTTTCTGTTCTTCTCATGGAGCATCCGGGGGTATTCTAGCTATTTGGGATGTGGATTTGATTTCTCATAATCATGTTTCCGTCCATGATGGCTTTATTGTTATTGAAGCAGTTTGGGTTCGTTCAGGTCTCCAAGTGAACTTTATTTTTGTTTATGCTCCTCAAGGGTTAAGTAAAAAAAGAATTCTTTGGATTGATATTTATAATTTTATTTCTAATTCTTTAGGGGAATGCATCATTATGGGTGATTTTAATGAAGTTAGGGATGAATCCGAGAGAGTGGGGACTAAATTTTATATGTCTTCTGCTAGAGTTTTTAATGATTTTATTAAATCTCTTGACCTGGTTGGTGGATGTTCCATTAGGGGGTCCTAGATTTACTTGAAGTGATAAATGGGGTTCCAAATTTAGCAAGCTTGATAGATTTTTGGTTACGGAAGGCTATTTGGAGTCTTTTCCTCACCTTTCAGTTATGATTTTGGACAAGAATATTCCTGATCATCACCCTATTCTTCTATTGGATCATCGGGTGGATTATGGTCTGACACCTTTTCGAATATTTCCTTCTTGGTTTGATATGGAGGGGTTTGATGATACAGTTCGGGAGGGTTGGGCTACCTTGGTGGTGAAGTTGGAGTTGACTAACCCTTGGGATATTTTTACGAAAAAATTATAGTTTCTTAAATCTAAACTTAGGGAGTGGAACTCTAAACACCGGGACATGGCGGCTAGTAACAGGAAGAAGTTGCAAGATTTAGTTGAGTCTATTGATATTAGGCTTATGGAGGATGAAGGTTCTGCTAGCTTGAGAGAGCAAAGAGTTTCTTTATTAAAGGAGATTTCAGATCTTGATAATTTAGTTCAAGTCGATCTTGCTCAAAGAGCAAAAATTCAGTGGGGTATCGAAAGGGATGAGAACTCTAAATTCTTCCATGGTATGCTTAATCGTAAAAGGAGAAAAACAGCTATTCGTGGCTTGATGGTTGATGACATGTGGGTGGATAATCCGGTCATGGACAAAAAAGGGTTTCATGATTATTTTCAATCTTTATTTTAGAAGAGTTCTTCATGGAGGCCAGTTATAGATGGCGCGTTTTTTAGTACTTTATCCCAAGTGCAGGTTGATTACTTGCAATCTCCTTTTTCCTATGAAGAGATTAAAAGGGATGTTTGGGACTGTGGGTCTACTAAAGCCCCTGGTCCTGATGGTTTTACTTTTGGATTCGTAAAGAGATATTGGGATCTTGTTGCTACTGATGTTGAGGCGTTTGTTCATCATTTCTTCCAACATTCAGTTATCCGTAAGGGATGTAATGCCTCGTTTTTCACCATTATTCCATAAGTCAGAGATCCGAAGACTCCAAAAGATTTTAGACCCATTAGCCTCATTGGATGCCAGTATAAAATTATTAGCAAACTTCTAGCTAATCGTCTTGTGGAGGTTATTCATAGTGTTGTTAGCCTTGAGCAATCTACTTTTATTAAAGGTAGACAGATCCTGGATGGTCCTTTTCTTCTTAATGAATTGGTTGCTTGGAGTAAGTCTTCCAAAAATCCTATCATGTTTCTTAAGGTGGATTTTGAGAAGGCTTATGATTCCTTATCTTGGGAATACCTATTGGAAATCATGTCAATTATGGGAGTTGGGTCTAAGTGGTGTCGGTGGATTAAGGAGCTTTTGTCGACAACTAGGGCTTCTGTGTTGATTAATGGTTCCCCAACTGATGAATTTCAAATTCATCGTGGATTGAGACAGGGTGATCCGCTTTCGCCTTTTCTTTTTATTCTGGCTATGGAGGGTCTTCATATTTCTCTGATTAGGGCCCTTGTGGGAAATGCTTTCAGAGGGGTTTCTATTTCCGGGAGTGAGATTTCTCATCTCATGTATGCGGACGATGTAATGTTGGTCACTCCATGGGATCCTGAGAATGCTAATTGTCTTCTTCGTATCCTTAGATGTTTTTTCTTAGCTTCTCGGCTTAGAATCAATTTACTTAAAAGTAAATTGATTGGTGTGGGAATTTCCTATTCTCATGTTCTTGTGGTGGCTAATAGGATTTGTTGTGCTGCTTCCATGCTTCCTTTTTATCATCTTGGTATCCCAGTGGGTTAGAATATCTCGCGAAAGTCCTCTTGGGTTTCTTTGATTGATAGATTTCGTTCTAAGCTATCTACTTGGAAGGCTAAATGTCTTTCGTTTGGTGGTCGCCTTACGTTGGTAAAGTCTGTCTTGGGTTCGTTAGGGAGTTACTGGATGTCTGTTTTCGTTGCTCCTCTTTCGGTTTTGAAGGAGCTTGAAGGAATAAGGGCGAGATTTTTTGGGGTGCTGACATGGATGATCGGCGTATGCATTGGGTTAGATGGGATAGAGTCTTAGCCTCCAGGGATGAAGGTGGTTTAGGGATTGGCAGCCTGTTCTCTTTCAATAGGGCTGTGGTTTTTCGGTGGTGGTGGAGGTTTTTTCATTTCCCTAACCTTCTATGGGTTAGAGTGATAAAATCTATTCGTGGTTTAGACGGTGCCTATAGGAATCTGAGATATCCTAATTGCGGTCAAAGTCCTTGGGGTGGGGTTATTCGTATGCTCTTCCACTTACGCCAGAAGGATATTGATCTTCAATCTCTTTGTCCTATAAGAGTTGGAGATGGTACTCATACTTCTTTTTAGCATGATGTTTGGAGGGATGATATACCTCTATCTGCTTCTTTCCCTAGAATTGATGCACTGGATTTGCATAAAAATGTTTATACAGCAGACAGGTGATCCATGGGTTTGGGGGTTAACACTCTTAGACGGGGCCCTAGAGGTGGAGTGGAATAAGAGCAATGGAATAACTTTATTTGTCTTTTGCAGGATTTCCAACTCAGACCGGTCCCATATAGACTGGGTTGGGTTATTGATATGTCAAATACTTTTTCCGTTTCCTCGGCTCGAAAATTATTGGATAGTTTTACGCTTAGCAACGGAGGTATTCCTACTCATTGGAATAATTGGGTTCCAATTAAGATTAATATTCTTATGTGGAGGATTAGTTTATCTAGTATCCCAACTAGAGAGCGTCTTTCTTATAGGATTATTATGGTGGATTCCATACTTTGTCCGGTCTGCTCGTCTATAGTGGAGACTGTGGATCATCTTTTTGCTAATTGCTCGGAATTGATTGCTCTTTGGTCCCGTATTGCGATCTGGTGGGGTGTTAGTTGTCCTTATCAGTTAACTGTCTTTTCTCTTTTAAATTGGGGTGACTCTACTACATGGAAAATTGGTCAGCGAAAGGCTTTCGATGCAATTATATTGACTACATTTTGGTGCATTTGGAATTTCAGGAACGGTGTGATATTCAGAGAGAAAACGTCTAAAAAATCTTTGATTTTTGATGATGTTGTTCATAAATCTTATGTTTGGATTTCTAGTAGGTATAGTAAAGCCAATATTAGTTGGTCCTCTTGGCTTCATAATCCTTTTAATGCTACTAAGTTGATGTAATTCCTTTTTAAAGCGTCTTGCTAGCTAATAATATTCCGCCATTAAAAAAAAGGGGTTGAAGTTTAAGAACATTATAATGAATATATCAAACAAAACGATGTATTATAGTGGGTTTGGGTAACTAAATTTATATTTCTTTAAGGATATACACTTTTATATATATATATATATATATATATATATATATATATATATATATATATATATATAATAATAATAATAATAAAATACGTATAATAAGTTAGTATCTATATAAAGATGTTGGTTAAAGTATGAATATCTTCTCAAGTTTTGTTGGTTAAAGTATGAATATCTTCTCATAAGTTTCTTTTTAGGAAAAAAAAAACCATTTTTGAACACACCTATAACATACAAGAACCATTTAGTTCATGTATACAAATACCAAATATGAAAAGGAGACATTTCTCGTATGAAAGGTGCAAAAAGCATGGAAAAATCACATGGAAGTTATAATATTCCCACTAAAATTACACATTTTGTCCTTCAAGTTTTACTTAATATCTAGATTTAGTGTGAAAGTTTTATTTTCAGTCTCAAGTCAAAAACTTTATCTATAAATTATAATAATTGAATCTCTATTTTTGTCTCCTTCAAAATTGCCCGTTATATGACAATCACATGTGTCATATGTTTTAAGGTTTTTGCTCGATTTCATCCGATTCATCTATCTATCTATTTTTTCAATGTTTGATTTTTAAAATTAAATTAAATTTTTTTCGTTTAAAATGTAAAATCTAATTTATTTATAAACTACTCATAATTTCATCTATATCTAAGGAGAGATTAAAACTCTCGACTTCAAAAAGAAAAAACAACATCCGAAGTCCGAACTATAAATTAAATCAGACTATTATATTTAGCGATATAAATCCAAGAATCCAAAATTATTTTAACTAAACATGTAAATTAATAGTAGATGAAGGATAAAACTTGAGTTTAGTCTAAATGTTATTATTTTATTATTTTTCAATGAGTCCGAGGGTAGAATTGTCTTTGTAGTGGTTTTACTAAAGTGAGCATCCTCGAGGTTCTCTCCGGCTTCCTTCAGTGTCCGTTGGTAACTCTTCACCGCTTTCTCTCTCTCTCACATTAAACCAACGTTACTTTGTTTCATTAATGTTAACATGAGCAGAGTGCGCACTGCACACCATTCCTGCAACCACCGCCGGTTATGAATCCCACAACCGACCAACTACCACCACCGCCACAACAGGCGTTGCCATTACAGCCACCAAGATCCTCCTTCAGCTGCGACCGCCATCCCGATGAGAACTTTTCAGGATTCTGTCCATCATGTCTCTGCGAACGTCTCACCACTCTAGATCAATCAGCTAACGCCACCGCTGCCGCTTCCTCCTCCCGTCGTAATTCCACCTCCTCCGCCACTGCTGCTGCTCTCAAATCGATATTCAGAGTGCCTTCCTCTTCCATCACTACCTTCGAAGCCTACAAAAACAAAACAGCAGCTACAGCTACAGCTTCAGGTTCAACCAGAACCTCATTTTTCCCTGAGCTCCGCCGCACAAAGTCTTTTTCCGCCTCGAAAAACGAAGGATTAGGATTCTCTGCCGGGGTTTTCGAGCCTCAACGGAAATCGTGCGACGTTAGGGGTCGTAACACTCTCTGGACACTCTTCTCCATCGACGACGAAAATAAACCCAGGCATTCCTCCGCTCAACAACAAGCCCTAGGAAACACTGGGACCCTCCTCGAGACCAACAAAGAAGACGACGACGAAGAAGAAGAAGATCAATTTCACAACGAAGAAATTGAACTTGCTGAAGAGCAAGACGTGAGTAATTTTAACGATCCTGAGAACGACATTGTGGAAGAAGCCGCTGAAATTCAAGAAGAAGAAGAAGAGAATGCAAGTGTGGACGATTTGAAAACCATGAAGGATCACATAGATCTCGATTCGCAGTCTAAAAAACCATCATTATCAAATTTCTGGTCAGCGGCGTCGGTTCTAAGCAAAAAATGGCAAAAATGGAGACGAAAGCAGAAGAAGAGCAGCATCGACGGCAACGGCGTCCTCTCATCCTCAACATTGCCGGTAAAGAAACCGATTTCGCGTAAGTATCGAGAGACTCAGTCCGAAATTGCTGATTACGGATTCGGCCGGCGATCCTGCGACGTTGATCCCAGATTTTCACTTGACGCGGGTCGGATCTCGTTTGATGATCCGAGATACTCCTTCGACGAGCCTAGAGCTTCCTGGGACGGGTATCTAATCGGCCGGACTTTCCCACGGCTTCCTCCCATGGTAGAAGATGCACCTGTGGTGCAGATACCACGTTCCGATATGCAAATCTCCGTCGAAGAACAACCACCAAATGTAGATCTTCTTGTCCCCGGTGGATCAATCCAAACCCGAGAATATTACTCCGATTCTTCCTCCAAGCGCAGGAAAAGCCTCGACAGGTCAAACTCCATCCGGAAAATGGCCGCCGCTGTAGTGGCGGAAATGGACGAACCAAAAACAACCACCGCCCCAGTCTCAAACGCCAAAGTTTCTCCCGCAACCATCGATTACAACCACGGTCATGGCGCCTTAAAAAGATTTCCAAGCATTGGTGGTGAGCGAGAATTAGCAAGGGATTCATATTCAAATTCCTTAAGAGACGATTGCTCAGAGACATTCGAATTAGGGTTCAGAGACAACGGCGAGAAGAAGGAGGGCAAGAAACCCAGACGATGGAGATGGAAGTTGTGGGGGTTCATCCACCGCCGTGGAGGATCCAACAAAGACGACGACGACGACACTTTCAGCAGAGTAAACGGCGTCGAGAGATCATACTCAGAATCATGGCAAGATCGAACAGAATCAAAAGGTGGGTTTAACAAAAAAGTATTACGAAGCAACAGTAGTGTAAGTTGGAGAAATTCTTCATTCAACACCACCAAGAAACCAAACTCTGAAACCAACGGGAAGAACAGGAAAGTTGGAGGAGATGAATTTGTTCTTGAGAGGAATCGAAGTGCAAGATATTCACCAAATCACACAGACAGTGGACTCCTTCGTTTCTACTTGACTCCATTGAGGGGTAGTCGAAGAAATGGAATTGGAATTGGAACAGGAAAAAGCAAACCAACAAGCAACTCAAATTCAATTGCCAGAAACATGCTTCGACTCTACTGAAACGTAACCAAGGTTAATACTTAATACTTAATACCACTAATCTTGTTTTGTTGAATTTAATTTGTCTTTAGTGTTGTGATATGGGATCTTATTAAATTTGGGTTTTTTTTGGCAGTATGATTGATGGGAAGATTAATGCTAAAAGAGTTAAAAATCATACTGAAAGTTGCAAGAAGACAAAGATTATTTATGAAGATGCTTTCCTAAGAAGGTAATAAACTCACACATGTACTACTCATAATGGATCATTGAGGTTGATAAGAAAACACACAGGTGTGAATTGTGAATTGTGAAAGGTAAAAGGGTTTGATCAAAAGAGGAAAGGTGGTGTGCTAAATTGGTAAACAAGGAGATTGCTTCTTTCAAACAAGGCTAGGAATTTAGTTCACATTTGACACAAGTTTCACTTACTCCCTCTCGCGTGTAGTTTTTCGGATCTTTCGAAATGATTTGTAACTTTGTATTTGGCAATGAGAAATTTTTTTCCTCTTTTATTTTTTCGAACAAATCTTAGACATTTTGGATGCGTGTTTGGTACACGGGACCGTTGTCTAGGGTTATTTATGTCTTTTTGCATATATGATATCTCGAGAATGAATCTCTATCCCTTATTTTATCTTGGTGGGACAAAAAAACAGTTTTTGTTTTGTTGACATCGGTTTCTAACAATTAATATCATACTAATTTTGTCGAGCTTAACAAACTTAGAATATGTTGTTACATGGGACTGTTGTCTAGGGTTATTTATGTCTTTTTGTATATAAGATAGATTGAGAACTAATTTCTATCCCATCTTATTTTATTTTGGTGAGACAAAAGAAAAAGAAAACAGTTTTTGTTTCATTTGACATCGGTTGATGGCCGATCCATATCAAATGAAGTATCTAATCTTGTCATGCTTAACAAAGTGAGCCTTAGAGCATCTTTGTTACACACCTACACTTACGAAACAAACAGAATCAGAAGGGTATTTTCGTCTTTTGTATAAAATAGATCGAAAACTTGTTCCTATCCAACATGTTCTATCGAGTGAATAAAAGAATTACAGTATTTGTCAATTAACATCGATTTAGCTCGTTTAATATGTCAAAAACGATATAAATTCATTTAATAAATGTCGAACACAATATAATTTATATTATCATGTTTTAGGGTTAGGTTGGTAAGAGAAGAAATTGTTATGTTTTTGAAATAATTATTTTGTTCATATTGCGATAGATGTTAAGAAACAATCAATAAATGACAAGACACAACATAGTGGTGTTTTATCGAGTCTGGATCATTTGTTACTATCAATCGTTTCTTTTTCTTTGGTGAAATTTGTATTTTATGCGGTAATAATTTGTACCTTAGTGTGGTGTTATTGTTTTTATCTTTTTCTTTGTATCTCTGGATAAAGTTATGTTCCAGTCTTTAATGTTGGGACCTGAAAGCTGTAAGATGTTCCTACAACTTGAGAATTACACATCCCTCTTCCCAATAATTACTCCTTTTGACCTGTAACATTCAAAAATATATATATATATATATATATATATATATATATATATATATATATATATATATATATATATATATATATATTCTTGAATAAAATATATAAGAGAAAAAGGGAAATAAACAGTATGAACAAGAGAGGATTGTTGATTAATTAGACCCAAATCCCATGACAAAATGATTACATATAGATCTGTTCTTGAAATCAAAAAGATTCAAACACAATAATTGTGTGCCAAGTGAGTGAATAAAGTCAAAAAGTCACCTCTAACACCACACTACATTACCAATCACAATAAACACAAATATTTTCTCATTTTATTTATTACTTTTCGATTATTTTATGATTTCTACGATGGTGAATACGTATTTTTTAATTTAACGAAGAAAATCGGCACCAATATTTAGGATTATTCACCAAATATCATATTTTATAAAATAATGACACAGCAACTTTATTCTTTGAAAACCTTAGAGTTGTAATTGAGTTTGAAAAATAAAAAATTTAAAAGGATGAGTATCTGGTTGTTTTGCCCCGTTATTGCCGCGTGGACACGGTTAAATGCTGTGTTAAATGAGCACCACCCTGGCCGGCGTCGTGACACTCAATGACTGTTGATTAAGGTATATATATATATATATATATATATATATATATATATATATATATATATATATATATATATATATATATATATATATATATATATATATATATATATATATATATAGAGGTTCAGGTTCATTTTAGATAATTCTAATTTTGTGAGAACGTGAGACCAAATCTAAAAATAATTTTAAAATGCGAAATAAATGGAAAAATCCAAAAATTCTTTTTTTAATTATTATTTTCGGAACTTGAATTAACTAATATATATATATATATATATATATATATATATATATATATATATATATATATATATATATATATAATAAAAAAATTTCCGTTTTTTTTTTTTGAAAAATACGTGAAATATTCTAAATAGAATATTACACTGACATATTCTAAAAAATAATTTTAAAATGCAAAATAAATGGAAAAATCTAAAATTCTTTTTTTAAATATTATTTTCGGAACTTGAATTAACTAAAAAAAATTAAAAAAAAAATAAAAAAAATTCTATTTTTTTTGAAAAATACGTGAAATATTCTAAATAGAATATTACACTGTACATATTCTAAAAATAATTTTAAAATGCAAAATAAATGGAAAAATTAAAATTCTTTTTTTAAATATTATTTTTGGAACATGAATTAACTAAAAAAATAAAAAAAATAAAAAAAATGCATCTCACGGTCTCACAAAATATAGGTGGTCTCAAATGAACCTAACCTTATATATATATATATATATATATATATATATATATATATATATATATATATATATATATATATATATATATATATATATTAGTTTATAACCCATGAGAACCACGGTTACAAAATTAATTAAATTTTTATACTAAAAACTCAAAATTATTAATTAATTATTTTAAAAAATTATTAATTAAAAGTTTTTTTTTAGTTATATAGATTTTGATCATTGATTTAAATAAATATATAAAATTATATCATTTGTATTATTTTTATTTTAATTTTTATTCTAATGTTATTAATTTTTTTTAATTCTAATGTTATTAATTTAATATAACTAAAGTGGAAATTTTAAAATTTGAAATTTGAAATGGAGTTGACAAATAACATACATTAATTATGAGATATAATAAGGTGATTAAATATCAAAATATCATATTTACCTTTCATAAAACTTTTAAATATCATATTTATCATTCATAAAATTTCAAAATATCATATATATGTCTTTTTTAAACATCAAAATATCATATATATCATTCTTAAATATCAAAATATCGTATATGCACTTTTTAAACATCAAAATATCAATGCTAATATTTAAAATATTCTCCATCTATAATAATCAACAACAACAAAAGCGAAACAATCAAAATATACATTCTATATAAATGGTTGAAGATGAATCTTTTTGTTTGTTAAGAGACCGACATTCCAATAATTTAGAAGTTTACATTCCATTATCTAAGGATAATATGTTAACTTTCTTAGTTATTATAATAATTCTAAGGTATAAAAAATGATCATAAAATATTAAACACATTATAAAAAAAGATTTGGAAAAATATAATATTTTGAAGGTTTATGAAGGGTAAATATGATATTGAGCAATTAAACTGGACAAATATGATATTTTGAAGTTTAAAAGGGGTATAAATGAAATTCTCCCTATATATATTGCCTATTGGTACCTATAAATACATAATTCATACATCATTTTATTTACATCATTCTTTTCTTTCTCTCAATATTTACAAAATTAAATTTCCTTTTCAACCTAAAAATAGAGTACAATCCAAACACCCCTCCACCAAACACAAACCCACAAACAAACATAACCGCTCTGGTCGGACTCGCGTAATATGATAACTACATAAATGACGAACCAGTTGGCAATTCTCTGGGCTAGCGAGAAAGTTTTGTCTCCTCGAGATTTGGAAGTGCTTTGAGCAATGAAGGAGAATATCTGGAACAGTTATTTGGGCATTTAGGACTTTTGTTTATTTATTTTTTTTAAAATTAGGATCATCATATTTTTTTTCTTGTGATGTTATTTTTAGTTTTTACATGTTATATTTAATTCAAGATTTATTTAAATAACATGTTTTATTAATTTATATATTTTTATAATTATTAAAAAAACAAATCAGAAAAAGTGAAAAAGAAAAAAAGAAATGATGATATCCAAATTAATGAGTGTTATAACATGTTGAACATTTTCTTTAATTAATGTTATAACACCAATGATGATGCGATACCAAAATAGTGTTATACATGCTACAATATATTGTACATGCCTAGTAGTCTTACAAATTTTGAACTTTCTTTTAGTGGTATGTAGTATATATAAGCTATTAAATTATTTGGTGAGCCTTTTTTTCCTGAAAGTTATTTTCAAATTCTCACAAAAATATGAGTTTTAAAATCTTCAGGACATGTAAATATTCTACTCTTTCTTAAAATATTTAATGTTATAAAGCTTTATGATATTGTTAATCTCCAACACAAAATTGTCAAACATGAAGAACATGTTTGAAACTTATATAGAGAATTCCAAACATGTTCTTCAAGTTTGAAAATTTAGCTAAAACAATTAGCTTAGTTGTTTTTGTCGGACGAGCCTTCATAGCGTTTGAATAGATAGAGTACACACACACACACACACACACACACACACATATATATATATATATATATATATATATATATATATATATATATATAGCCACACACAAACACACACACACACACACACATATATATATATACACACACACACATCATTTGATAACTATAATTGTTTTTAGCATATTTTAAACTTATGAACATGTTCGACTCGTATGAGTTAATTGGGCCAACCCTAATTTTCTTTGGCTTTAGGCTCTAATTAAGGGCCCTAACTCCTAGGGTTTCTCATGACGCGTAACCTCTATCCTCAGAAATCCATGATATGAAACCCTAGCCTCTTTTTTTGGTGTGTTCTTGTGTTTAGTGCCATTTTTGAGTGAAGTGGAAGAAGAAGAAGGAGATCTTGGTGCATGTGAAGCTTTTCCTTAAGGAAGATCCGACTTTCTCTTTTGTTTACGGACCTTTTTAAGTCAAAAAGTCTCTTTATTTAGGCTTTTCCTCCATATATCTAGGTTGTTGGTTAAGTTGTAGTCATTTTGGGCCCTAATCTTTATGTTCTTGGGGTTTGGGGAAACTTCATTGATGGTATATGTTATAAAAATCATATTTTTGGCAGAAAAACATAAACCATAAGTTCACATGCACCCTAAAGGATCTATGTTTTCACTATTGAATGCAATAATCAATTGAACATAAAGAACCCTAGTATTTTCGAAAATCATAAAAGGGTTTAGAAAAAAATACCTCTTGATTATACTAGTAGATAATCAAATAAAATCCTTTTTATAGTCACTTGGAAGCTAGCACCATAAATCTCGTGCCTCTGATGGTTCACACCCAACCCTAGCAACAAAGAGGCTTATTGAGAGAAGAGGGGATGGTGAAATTTTAGTCTTGACTT